CTAATCATAAACTTATAAACTACAAACTCCCTAATAGTTACAGTTTTTTTTTTTTTCTTTTTTGGTTTTAGTTGAATTTTTGATAGTCCCTCCATATTACCATTACCATCATTATCACCATCATTATCATCACTATCATCATCATTACTATTATTATCTTTATTAGATAGTCTTTCTGATTCAGAGATTCCATCTTTATCAAATTCAACTTTTTTGCTTTTAAATACTAATTTTTTTTTATTACAGAATCATAAAGATCATTATTATCTTCTGCTTAGGCTTAAACTTCTTCTGTTTCTTCTCTAGCTCTTTTTTCTCCTTTCTTTACAGAAGATCTACTTTCTAAATATTTTTTATCACCTGCATGAATATTTTCATTATCAAGACTCATTATACTTGATGAACTTCTAATAGTTGCAGATTCCAAAACACTTGTTAATCCTGTTTTACTTGTGATTCTTTTTCTAATAAAGTATCAAAGTCAATATTAGAGATATTACTTGCTCCAGTTTTAGCTTTAAAGGTTTTAGAGGCTTCAGGGTGTTGAGTCATCTTTCTTTTAAGAGCTCTTTTTTCTTTTTTTCTTTTCTTCTATTTATTTTACTTGGGCCTTCATTTTTTGTTTAGTCCAATAAAAATAATCTAGTTCATCATAATCATCATCATTATCATTATCATTATCTGATTCAATTTTATCTTTTTTTAATATTCCTTTATGCCAACTATATTCTCCATGTAGAAATATCAAAGGATATGCTAAAGGATTATATGCATTATGTAATTTAGATATTTTTTCTAATTTATCATCATGTCTTACAATAATAATATCTCTTACATGCATATTTTTATTAGAAAAACAAATTGCAGCTACTTCTTCAGCTAGTGGTGCATTATATTGTCTCATATCTTTGCCATGTATTAAAATATAATATAGAGAATCTTTTAGATCCTCATTTCCTGCAAATATATAAGTAACTACAAAAGGATTTAAATCCATTAATACATTTTGGATATTAATTATCATATCTCTGTTTAATGCTTGCTTCATTACATCATGTCTTCTATTAATTTGTACTTCAATATCTGAAGAATTATGAAAATATATTTGGAAAAATTTTGGTATTCCCTCTTGTTTTGGCAAAGCTGAGCTAATTTGATGATAATGATTACCCTGAATTCTATAGCAATATGCCCCTTTTTTTTCATTGGCAACACTCAAATCTAAATCAGTAGCAATTGATGTAAAAGCAAATGCTTGATTATATGCTCTTATTTGGTCAACAAATAGTACTTTAGATATTGGATCTTTTTCTGTAAGAAAATAAAGAATTTCTGGTGGTGATGCTTGAAGTGGTGCTAATATAACTTTACCATTCATGCAACAAAGTCCTGGTTTTTCTTCCTTCCATCTTAATGCCCCACAATGTTCACATTCAATGTCTATTTTCCCTACACTATGTCCCTCAATGTTTTTTTTATCATCACCATCATTATCATTGTCATCATCATCATCACTATCATCCCCACCATCATCCACATCATCATCTCCATCATCATCCCCATCATCATCTCCATTATCATCATCCCCACCATTATCCTCAATCTCTTTTTGATATTCATCTAAGCTACAATATCCTATTTTATAAAAATTGTTCAAATTGTTCTTGTTTTTTCTTTTTATGCCTTTCTCTATCTTTTTTTTTTACTTTTTCTTTTTGTGCTTCACTTAAAGAAGCTCTATGTGCTCGTTGTCTATCTCTTTGACCTTCTTTTGTTTTTGATCTTGTTTCTGATGATGCTTTAGAAGTTTGAGATCTAGTTCTTGATGAAGGTCCTGCAATACTTTGGTTTAATTTTTGATAATGTATATATTTAGCTTGTCTTTTTCTTTTTAATCTATTAGACCTTTCTTTTACAAATTCATCATCAGATTTTTCTGGTTCTGGATATGTTTCTAAAATATGTTCAGGAGTAGGTAATCTTTCTTTTTCATCTTTCTTTTCTTTCTTTTTTTTCTTTTCTTTTGGCATTTTCTATCTCAATAAAAAAAAAATTTATAATAAAATAATTAATTATTTGTATAATTTATAAATAAAACAAATAATTTATTAAATAAATAATATAAATTTTTAAAACTTTTGCTTTAATTGTAAATTTTTTACCTTCTTTTTAAATTTTACATGTTTTAATAAATTTGTAAATTTAATATTAATTTATAACATTTTATTAATATTTTTATTAAACTTACTATTATTTAGTTTATTTAATATGGTTCTAAAACCTATAACATTAATTTAATTAATTTAACAAAAAATTAGTATAAAAAATTTAACAAAAATTGTATTTTTCTATTTTTTTTTAATAAAAAAAGATTAAAAAACATTTTTTTCTGAAGATTTGATACAAAACATATCTATAAGTTACACGAATTTCAGTATGTTACGCCAATTTCGGTACGTTACGCCAATTTCGGTACATTACGCCAATTTCGGTACGTTACGCCGATACGTTACGTTATGCCGATTCGTAACGTTATGCCGATTTATTAATAAATTTCTATTTTTAATTAATTAATTAATTAATTATTATAATAATTAATTTATTAATTAATAATTATTTTTTCGTAATACGTTTTATGTCATGATCACGTGACCCCGATTTCAGGTCACCCACTATTTTCGTGGGAATTCGAATTCCCATAAGTCACGTGACTTCGTCGTTTGATCAGAGTTTCAAACTCCATTTCGGCGGAGTTTGAAACTCCTTTGATTTCGCAGGAATGCGAAATCTGAAGTCACGTGACTTCGTCGTTGCACAATCGGAGTTTCAAATTTGCCTCTTCTTTTGTTTCTCTCTTCGCTCTTTGCTCTTTTATTCTTTTTTCTCTCTTCGCCCCACTCCCCTATACCTACACCCACTTCCCCACACTCACTTTCCCACACCCACTTCTCCACACTCACTTCCCCACACCCACTTTCCCACTTCCACTTCCCCATTCCCACTTCCTTATTTCCACTCTGTCTCTCTCCTATTTCCCTCTCTTTACTCTTTACTATTTGTCAAATTTGGTCACTAATTAATTTACTGACGTTTTTATTAAAGATACCTGCTTCGCAGGTTTCTTTTAATAAAAACGTCAGCAAAATTAATTAGTGACGGAAACTGTGCAATAGTAGAGGGTTGACTAGCTCTTAAGACCCGGTCAGTAACCGGGTTCGAGTTTCTAATTTTTTGCTAATTCTTAGGCCTCAACGTTAATAATTCTCAGGCCTTAATTTATAAAACCCGGTTGGTGACCAGGTTCAAGTTTCTAATTTTTTGCTAATTCTTAGGCCTTAATGTTATTAACTCTTAGGCTTCTATATTATTAGTTTATAAGACC